TTTCTGTATGTGCATGTATTTCTGTATTTCTTGCCATGTGCTTGCTAAGCTCTGCCACGAAAGTTCTGAAGATCTCTCTGGGATGTTTTACAAACATGCCCATACCACCCACGAGGGATACTCCTTCCCACTCCTCTTCTGTGCTGACCTGATGTCAAGAATGAAGCTAAATACACATGAGGAAAGCTGTTGGGCACAAGCAGCATCCAGTCTTTTACTGGTAAGTAAGGCAGAGCAAAATTTCTGAAAAGCCGCTAATCAAGTTTTGGAAAATTCATGTTTTGTTTATTTGAGGCAGGGTCTGGCTCTCCTGAAACTTGCTCTGGGGCACAGGCCGGCCTTGAACTTGGAGCAAGCTTCCTATCTGAGCCAAGGGTCATAGACACTTGTTAGCACACTTGGCACACTTAAAAGAAAATCACTAGCAATATTTGTCATCTGCATTCTCTGCAGCTACTGAAATGATTATGTATCTTTCCCTCTGTTAAGTTGCTAAATATGGTAAATTACTTGGGTGGAATTTGAACATGACTTTGCAATTTTTTATTACATCTCTTTCTGTGTGCGAGAAGCCCACAGCTTGTGGATGAAGTCAGAGTACTGTTTGTAGGAGTTGGGTCTTTCCTACCCTGTGAACTCCTGGGACTGAACTTTGGTAGTTAGGCTTAGCCGCAAATGCCTTTACACCAAGAGCTATCTCACTGGCCCCAACTTTAAAACAACTATTGAACTAGACTTGTTAGTGTATTGTTACGAATATTTGTTAAGCATGAATTTTCCACTTCCACATGGTTAGACTTAAAAGTATTTTGGGGGCTGGAGAGAAAGCTCAGCAGTTAAGAGCACTGTCTGCTCTACCAGAGGTCCTGAGTTCAAGTCTCAGTAACCACATGGTGGCTCACAACCATTTTTACTGGGATTGGTGCCCTCTTCTGGCATGCAGGTGTACATGCAGATAGAGGAGTCATTCATAAAATAAATCAAATCTTTTAAAAGTCTTTTGTACCTACGTTCATGAGAGATATAGGTTTCTTCCTTAGACTTCTAGTTAGAGATCAGGGATAACATTTCTTAAAGTGAGCTGGCATCTTCTGTAGCCCTTTGATAGAGAGCTGGTGGTATTCCTTATGTGCGGTAGAGTTTAATGAAGCCATCTAGAACTCTATATTCCTTCTTGGTACATTTTTTAAGTCTTTAATTTCTTTGCTCAATAATGGGGATATTCAGTATTTTTGAGATTTTAGTAATTTGCCTTTTAAGAAATTTGTTAATTAAATAATCTGCTCAATTTGTCATAAAGATGTTAATAATAGACCATTATCCTTTCAGGGTCTGTAGTATCTGTAGTTTTCTCTCACTCATGCGTGACATTGGCAATTTGCTTAGGTGCAGTGTTTATCATTTACAAAAATACAAGTTTTGGCTTCTTTAAATTTCTCCATAGTTGGACAAGTTTATGTTTCATTTATTTATATTTTTCTACCTTTTAAAAAACAGCTTTGAGATATATATTTCGTACCATCCAACTCACTAACTTGAAGTGTGTATTTTGTAGCTGTTGCGTGTCTTAGTTTTAATTCAATGGCTTAGTCACAGGATTGTAGTCCTCACAACTGAAAACATTTTCACCAAACATTACTGTTTTTGAAACAGGGTCTCTTGTGTTCTGGGCTAGCCTTGAACTCACTACATAGCAGAAAGACAACCTTGAATTTCTGATCCTCCCAGTTCCACCTGCCAAGGGCTGGTATTACAGGTGTGTGCAAACCGCAGCTCATACAACTTAGAAATGTTTTCAGTACCAGCTGAAGAAAACTCAATCCGTTAGCTATTTGGGCCTCTAAACCTCCTCTCTCCCCATTTTTTCTCTTTATAGATATGTTTGTTCTGGGCATTTTGAACATTTGGAATCATACACAGATTCTTGGTGACTCCAGCTTATTTTTTTTTACTTGTCTATATTGTAAAGTAAAATTCCACTGTATGTTCTTTCTTGTTTATAAGGTGGACACAAATTGACTTCTTTCTTCTAACAACTTTCCCCTGAGGTATTCCTATTCTACTAACAGTGGGTGTCTTCTGCACTTTAACAGGCTGCTATGACACAAGAGTAAAGACAGATTTAAAATAATAAACATTAGCCGTGCATGATGCAGGCCTGCAATCCCAGCCCCAGGGGCAAAGGGCTCCTAAGTGTGAGGCTGGCCTGAATTGCATAATGAAAATCATTCTTTAAAAAAAAATCACAAAGCACTACTCCCTGTGAATATTGACATAACCCTCAGATCTGACAGCATATTCACTGTCTTTGGTACCTATTTTATAGCTTCAAAATTGTCTTCCAGGAGATTCCTAAAAAAAAAGATCTGACATGTTCTGATTTCCTTTATGTTGACAGATTTGTCTATGTGATGTGGACATAGATCCTATTTGTTTTGTTTTTTTTAAAAGATCCTCTTATTTGTACACGTATGCACACTTATGTGTGTGACAGTGCAGGTGCCCAGGTCTGTGCAGATGGAGGGCAGAAATTGGCATCTTCCCAGATTGCTTTGTCTATTACAACAGGAACCTGGATTGTTCTAGAGATTCCATCTCCACTTAGAGGGCTGTCATGTTCTACTGGCAATTATGTGGGTTCTGGGCCTCCATACTCTAAGTACACTACCATTTTATGTGAGTATTGCTGCCAAAGCCTTATAATCTTTTTTCCCCCCTAAGTTATGAAGTTTTCACAATTTTCATTCTCTTTAAGATCTGGTAAATTTACAAGTTGTACTCATGTTGGCCATTTCTGAACAGTGTAAAGTGTTAAATATATTCTTTAAAATCGTCTTGAAGATTTGAAGCAGTTTCACAGCAGCCCTGTCTGGCCTGGAACTATGTAGACCAGGCTGGCTAAAAGTCTGTCTCTGCCATTTGAATGTTGGGATTAAAGGTGTGCTGCACCAGGCCTGGCTTATCTTTGTATTTTTTTAAAGCTGTTCTCATCCCTTAGTCTTGTTTTGGGATTCTGTTAATTTTTGATTTTGGTCAATTTTCTTGAGTTCTACGATTTCAGATTAATTTTTAAAATGTTCTCAATTTTACCTTTGCTCGTCCATTCAATTGCAGACATTCAAAGGGGTTGCTTTCACCTTTGGCCAACATGACTAATGCTGCTACAAATATGAACATGGATTTACAGATAGCCCTGCTTTCAATCTGGAGGGCTTATAAACATAATTGGAACGTAATTGTTTAAATTGTCAAACTTTTAGTACTTTGGACACGACTGACGGTTGAACCTAGGACCTTGGACTTCTTGCAGCCTTCTTGTCCCATCTGACCCACCCACACACCCCTTTCCCACTCTTCCACAGGATTCCCTGAGCTCTATCTGATGCTTGGCTGTGAGTCTCAGCATCTGATTCGATCAGCTGCTGGGGACTGGGGGGCAGGAGGGAGTGTGTTCTCAGGGAACACTTACGTTAGGCTCCTGTCTAGCAGCGTATGGTTAGTGGTGTCAGGGGTTGGCTTTTTCCCATGGAGTGGCTGTCAAGTTGGGCCAGGCGTTGGTTGATCACTCTGTTATCGCTGAACATCTTGTAGGCAAGGTAAGGTTATAGATGGATTGGTATTTCCCTCCTACCACTCTAGGTCCTGCCTGCTCAATGGTGGCCTTAAGTCTTGTGTCCGTCCACTGCTAGGCTCAGGTTTGGAGCACTTCCTGTTCTGGCAGAGAACTAGAGTTCAAATTCCATCCCCTATGATGCTTAACAACCAGCCATAACTGGTTCCAGGATATCCAATGGCCACTTCTGATCTGAGGGAACCAACCTCACATTCATACATACGAAATAAATCTAAAATCCAAGGAGTATTTTTAGACCACTTTAAGTAGATTATGTTGTTGTGCAACACCAACCCTCAAGTGTCTCTTCTCCACCCTAGGAAACCATCATTCTCGTCCTTTGCATTTGATTACTCTAGGAGTCTCATGTAAGTGGAATGATAAGAGTATCTTTGTGGCTTATTTCACTTGTTTCTTCAGGTTCATCTATGTTGAGAGTGTGTTGGACTTTCTTTTTGGCTTGAATATTTTTTTCTAACGTACATGTTGCCTTTTCCCCATTCACCTATTTTCTGTACTTTGCTTCCACTTTATGGCGATTACAAATAATTCTATTCTGAGCACAGGTGTAAACATTTCTTTCAACTCTTTGCCTTCATTTCATACTCAGAAACAGAATTTTGGGATGTTAGGGTTAAAGAATCAAGTTTTAAAGAATCATTATGTAGTAACAGTTTCATACACCCTAGCCAGCACACTTTATTATCTTGATAGGAACCCTGTGTTAATAATGCTAACCTTACTAAATGGTCAGCGAGGTCGAGTGTGTCTCTCACACGTTTATAGGCCACTGATGGTTTCAACAACCTTCCCCCTTTCTCATTTATAATCTCATTTATAATCTATTTGCTAACATATTGTGACAAAACTATTTTCTAGCCTTGAAATCCCCATTTTACTTGCAATATATGTTTCTGCCAAGTTAAGAGCGTGAGGGTTTGGTAGTAGGAATGAAACCCAAGGGCTCACGCCTTTGCTCTATCTGAGCTACACCACCAGCCTAAAAGACCAGCAGCCTAAACGAAGTTGTTTAGGTTGTTTTTGAGACAGGACCCCTCTATGTAGTCCTGGTGGATCTAGAACAATAAGTAGGCCAGGCTGTCTTTGAACTCAGAGATTCTTTTGCTCTTAACTGCTGGGACCAAATATATGGGCCACTATGTCTACGCTGCATTATTTTTGGCTGCAAAATCAGTTTAAAGTGCTGAACTTAATTTTTAATATTTTTTGCTAAAATCCCTGTGATGGACACAGTTCATTTTAATAGATACTTTCCCAGAGAATTATGAATGAAGAATTCTTTCATACACACCAAATGCACAGCCTCAAGACAACCCTGCTTTTAAATAGGAGAAACTGTAAGTATCATTATTTTAATGACTCATAACCAAAGTATGACCATCTTTGAAGAAAAGTTCACTTTCTGTTAATGTCTCAGGAGTCTGGAGCAGGCCAGGCAAGCTATACAAAGAAACATGTTTTGATTAACTAAATGTTTAACCACGAATATTAAATCTCAGCCCTGTAAAGGAGTAAATTAGTATTAACTACAAGCAGCACTGTATTTTACATTTGGATTTAAACATGAGAATTACCACACAGAGACTTTTTTTAAAAAAAAGATTTAAGATCATAAATAGGTCATTGTTATAACACATTTCAGAATGGAAAAAAGTCAAACATTTTGGCTTTTTATAGAACATTTCCTTTTAAAAAATCAACTCCGTCATTACAAGGACCTGTACATTTCCTAACTCCCAGTCTCCTAAGGCACAGTATTTCATCAGAATGCCAGCATCGCGGCCTGCTGCAGCTGGAATACAAGGCAGGGCACTGTCACTTGGAACAGCAGTCTCTGGACACATCAGTCACTTGAGAAAATGTCTAAGTCTGAGCATTTTAGTTGTAAAGGCCATTTCTGCAGGACTTTTGAACAAAGTAATTTTCTCAAACCAAATACAGTTTCTTTAAATAATAATATGAATGTGGAATAACAGATGAAGGGGCAAAACCCAATGACCCAGACTAAGGTCCTAGTTTCTTACTAGTACTCAGCAACCCAAAAAGTACAGCAAGGGAAGAACAGATGTACAGGCATCTGCATGCCAGGACACAGCCTTGCCTGTCCCACCCTACTGAGATGTCATAATGTCTTCAACTGGATGCTCATTAAAAAAAAAAATAATAATAACCAAAAACAGATATAGGACTCCTCATTTTAAATGTCTGTATCCTGTGATAACAACTGAACTGTAAAGTTTGACATAATGTGGTGACTGAGTGTTAATTAAAAAAAAAAATACACAAGTGATTGTCCGCAGACAAAACATGGGATGAGGTTCATGACTGAGTTAACCGTGGAGTGTTAGTGATCTGTAAACTTCCCAAAAGTTATGACCCACAATCGTGCCTGGCGCATTAGAGGACAACAGGGGCAGGGAGACTGTCTGTCATTCCAGTTCTGACAGGGTGCATGGCCTTCGGAATTCTTGTCCACGTTCATGGAGCCATTTGTTGGATACTGTGAGAGGGGAAAAAAAACAAACAAAATTTTTCTTCTAATATAAAAGCTTGTTTATGACAATTTCAACACAGATTAAAAGCTTAAAACTAAAAACCAGATAAAGGTAGATGCTGCATAAACTTGACAATGTTGGAAACAACAGATCTCATGTACATACATCTAATGAGATCTAAAATGAGCTATGAGTGGCACAACATATAGCATGGATGGAGAAGATCGCTTTCACCTGCTTCCAAATGCTACCTCCAAAACCCAAAGATGGGAAAGCAAACACAACTCCTCTTGGGAAGAGGGTTCTCTGACCCTGTTGCTCACATATTCATAAGCTGGCTAAGTTCCAAAATGTTCTGTTTTTTCAAGACAGGGTTTCTCTGTGTAGCCATGGCTGTCCTGGAATTCACTCTGTAACCCGGGCTATCCTCCACCTCAGAGATCCGCCTGCCTCTGACTCCCAAGTGCTGGAATTAAAGTTATGAACCACTATGTCCTTTTAAAAAGGATCTCCTCCCCCAAATTAATTTTCTACACTATTTCTGGTATATAGAATAAGTGAATGCCACTGACTTGCACAAAATATCTGAAATAGGGTCCTACACTCATTATCATCATCTCCCTGGTACCTAATCTTTATTAATCAATTGGCCAATTTTTCTTCTTTGAACCAAAACCTTTTGCTATTGCTGTTTAAGGCTAGACCTCTTGTCCACTCACACAATGGAGAAGAGCCTTTAAAGCTGTTTTCTTCCTCACTGTGGTCCAATGTTCCATAAGCAACATAATCACAGAGGGTATTGTAAGACCTTGATGAACAGGCCTCTTTACATTGGTTATGTGAGAACACATATAGACTGTAATCATCTGAAATGTTGCCACTGACATGCTGAACTGCATATAGAGGGTTAATATATATATTAAACCCCGTTTCTTTCTCAACCAGTCCTATACCTGCATTGTCTGAGAGGAAGGCCTCTTAAATTCTGCACTAAAGCCAGACCGAATTTATTCTGGCACTTAACATGCCTAAAAAAATAACTTTTGTGTGCTGAGGAAACAAAAATTAAGCTAACGCTCCACCAACTTAGACAAAATCACCCTCTCCTCTTCCATCTTGGTCATTAGTCTGCATTAGTCTGACTTATCCGTTAGCACATGGTCTCACATTGTAACCTTTCAAAGGAAAACAGTAACTTTTCAATTAATGTTTCTTGAAAAAGGAGCACCTACCCTCAAAAACAAGCTCACCAAAATGCTAATCTATGGGACACAAATTTACATTTAGACTAGAGAAGTCTTGGCTGAATCCATTACAACGTGAATCCATATTGGCAGGTCCTTGGGAGAAAGCACTTTATTTTAAGGTGCAGGCTATAATAGTTTCAAAGTGAAATAAGTCATTTTTCAGAGAATATAGGGACTATTTACCCCATTTGTTTCCAACTAGCACGGGACAGGCTGCATGCCGTGTACTGTAATCTCCTTCACCACTGGCAAACAGATTATACCAGAAGACAGCAGTACCCTGTGGAGAACAATCCACATTACCACCAAATAAAACGCCAGGTCTTTACTTTTCACAGTACTTACATTTTCCTGTTCCTTATACAGAGGCATATGTTCTTCTCTAATTTTGTGAGCCTATTGCTTTAAAATGTTTTCTTTTTCATATGGAAGTTAATACCATAAAGATGAAACGGTATTTCAGAGAACAGTCTAGCAACATGAAGAAGGGAATCATACAAAAATAAAATCTTGGAAATTAGAACTCAGTATCACCCTTGTTCCTGACCCAACTTTTACTGAGAGGTGAATGTAGTTTGAAAATATAACTCATTGCTTGGGCCACAAACTATGGGTGCAGCTCTAGTTCAGGGGGAAAAAAAAAAAGACCCAGCATACCCACGCCCCACAACAAACCATTCTTACTTTTTTGGGCCAAACACTGGCTCCTACTTCAGGGAAAACAGTGGCGCCTCCAGCAGACACATCACTCATCTACAAGGAAAAAAAGGGTAGAAAAAATTGAGACAGCATTGTGAGGAGCTGATGCTGAATGGACATTGAAGACATGTTTATCTATGTATGGCTGGACTTTATATCTGGTTTGTTTGTTTTTTAACATGCTATGTAGTTTAGATGCATGCACCCAAGTAGTAGTGCTAGAAGGGAGATAAACCTAGAACTGGACATTATAAAAGAAATGTTGTAAAATGTGTATATATAAGCATTTTCCTGTAGTTGAATATTCTCTCTAGAAGGCAGGAATTCTCATGTCTTACTTGCTGACAATATTCAGTGTATAAAATAACACCTTACTAGTTGGTACTTAGTAAATACTTGTTTACATAGTTTATTTCACTACTATTCAAAGCCATTCAGAATATGCATGAGACCTCAGATTTGACAAGCTGCTTCTCCCTCAACCCCTACCCCCCCCCCCCAAAAAAAAATCAGTCAAAAAAAAAAATAATTTTGTGGTGATTTGTCATGGAACAGAAAAGTGAAACAGATATTAATTTTGAAGTTGGGCACATAGGCAAGAGTGTATGCTTAGCATATTTTAGGCCCTGAGTTTAATCCATCATACACAAAAATTATAAATGCATTTTTGCTGTTTAACCATGATAATAATTGCTACTGTTGTGTGATGTCTTGGTCTGGATGCTAATTATTGGATATGTTTAGTCTGTGAAAAAACTATAAAGCTACACGTTTATAATGTGCATATATAACATGCAGATGTAAACAGTCCATATTCTAAAATATAATCTCTCTAAGTTCTAGGACTATCAATTTTTTTATCTGTTTTTGAGAAAGGGTTTCTTTGTGTACTTGAACTCAGAGATCCACCTGCCTCTGCTGGATTAAAGGTGTGTGCCACCACTGCCTGGCAATAATTTTTAAATGCATCCCCCATACATTTGAGACATGGTCTCATATGTACTGTGCTACAGTTATACAATGCTGACCTCAAACCCACTATATACCCAAGGCTGACCTTGATCCTTCTGCTGCCCAAGTACTAGGATGGCAGACACGAAACCCCATGCCTTCTGCATGGTAAACAAACCATGAAGTCCCAGCTATTCCTCTATTTTGAGACCCAGGCTGGCTTTGAACTCACTATGAAGCCTGATGATTGCAGACCCTGTCTCCCCTGCAGGAGCTTGTATAAGAAAAACTTTAGAATGTTAAATAGGAGTCCACTAAACCAACTTCATAAAACATGCCCAAACAAGTGATTCATACAATCAAATCGCAAAGCAAACATTTACTTACATAAAACAGCCATGTAGCAATTCTATTTCCTGTCCCAAGCTCTCTAAAAGCATCCGGCTCATCTTTCTGTGGACAAAGCAGTGAATGTAATGGTATTAAACTCAGTACTGTGAATACTCCAGGGGCACAGTAGTAGGAAGTGAAGGAACACACCTCAAATGGCTGCCTGTGTCTGCCAGTGTGCAATGTTCACACCAGCCTCAAGTGCTTCATTCAGCCCCCACACTGGATACTTTTGCCAAAAACAATTGGAGAAAACAAATTCTAGATCTGTTTTCTGAATGAATTAATAGTGGGTTCTTCTCCTGTGTAATGGTGCTAGCAGAAATTAAGGGTAAGAGAAGGGTGTGTGTGGTAACGCAACTACAAGGGAGCTTTGTGACATAGTGATGTGCCTTGACTACAACAGGAATTACATAAAGTCACAAGTACCAGAAGTGCAGAGCCATAAGAAGAAAAAAAGCAGAAGGGCTGAAATAATGTGTTGTGAATGCAGCAACGGTGCACTCCTGATTTTGGTACTGTGCTACAGTTACAGAAGACATCAGCCCTGGGGGATGGGGCATGAGGGAGATACATGGAAGTGCCCCATATACCTATTTGCTGCTTCCATGGAATCAACAATTACCTCCAAAGCTAAAATAATAAGTTTCAATTTTGTAATGGGCCTTTAACCTGACATCATCAAAAACCCTGACACGTTTCAGTATCAGAAATTAAGAATAGAGAAAAAAGTGTAGTTTTGCAGGACTCTATAGGAAAAGAACATTGGGATCTGTGATGAAGCCAGTGAAGAGCTGTTCAAGGACAGACTGTTTCTCCCCTCAAGAGTGCTGAGAGATTGCAATATATATAAGAATATAAGTATAGTATAATATATATACGTATAGTTTAAGAAGCTTCAGTGATAATGGAGTCTCATGTTCTCTCAGCTTCTGGACTCCAGTTTGTCTTTCATTTTCAAATGTGTTCTTGTAACTGTTTCATGTGTATTGTCCAATTCAGTTCAGTTGTCTCTCATCTTTAAAAAACCAAAACCAAACCAAAACAAAAAAAACCTATATCCTTTCCATTTTAAATGTTTACATTTCTTTCCTATTTAAAATTTCCCTTTGCTTATTTTTCAAATATGCCAACATCATCATTTTGCCGCCCTTTATTTTTTAAGGACTACATATACAGTATACAAGCAATTCAGGATATGTGTCTGTCTGCTGGCTGCTGCAGTCTTTTCCGCTGTACTTTAGCCACTGATTATTTATTTTTTATTTTTTAAATCTGCAGGGAGAATAAAGTTTGCTTCTACCATATTTAGGAACATTACTAAACTGAGCAACTTTAATCTTTCTCATGATGCCAGGTCTATGTTTTAAAACTCCCAGAGCACAGCTGCCATCTCAAAGCAAGTGTTTTACACTACTGTCTTCGCTGACAGGCTGACAGTAGAATCTGACTAGAGGTTTATGGCAGTCCTCTCTGAGTCGGTGACCCAGCGCTCTAGGTGCCAACAGTAGTGCTGCCTCATCCTTAACTGCCAACTGTTCAGGGTTCAGTGTGTCTGTGGGGAATAACATTTTCATTCTTCCAGGCTCATCAATGCACTCAACTAAAGGTCTTAATTAAATGTCTTTATTTTATTTTAGTTTTTTTTTTGTTTGTTTGTTTGTTTTTCCAAGACAGGGTTTCTCTGTATAAACTTGGCTGTCCTGGATTCACTTTCTAGAGAGGCTGGCCTTGAACTCACAGAGATCCACCTGACTCTGCCTCCCTGTGTGCTGGGATTAAATGAGTGAGTCACCACCCCTGGTTTTTTAAGGGGTTTTTGTTGCTGTTTTCTGCTGAGAAGGATTCTCAGGATCTCCTGTCAGTCAGGGAATAGGTTTTTATATTCAGATAGAATCAACAAAGACACTTTTCGGCTGGAGAGACAGCTGAGTGGTTAAGAGCACTGTCTGCTCTTCCAAAGGACCCAAGTTCAATTCCCAGCACCCACATGGCAGCTCACAACTGTCTGTAACCCCAATTCCAAGGGATCTGACACCTTCACACTAATGCACATCAAATAAAATTAAATAAATTACTAAAAAGAAAGAAAAGAGTTTAAAAAAAACAAAGACACTTTTCCTGACCAACCCCTCTCAAGTTCCTTTGAGCTCTCTCCTCTGCCGGCCCTGACTTGTGAGCTTTGCATGCTCATCTCTCCCCTCCATATCTGATCTCTCATTGGGCTGCTCATTTTTCAGCACCCCCTGGGTAGTGCACACTGCTCCTATCCCTGCTGCAGCCCATTACTGCTCAGTAATCTCTACACACTGCCCCATAACTTCCCATTGCTGCCTTCTGTACCTGAAGTTAAGCTTACTCTCTCACCAAAAAACCTCATTACAGTTACAACCCTCCCCTCTCCCCCAAAAGAGCCTGCTTGTCTTAAACTAAGTGTCATGAATTTTTTTTTCTTCCAACAAGAAGTAATTAAACTTAAAAGTGGACTTAGTTACACTTTCACTTACCCTTGCAAAGTCAAAATGAGGTTCATATTGTCCTCCAACTCCATAATTTGCTACCTGAAGGAAAGAAAAAAGAAAGGATAAATAAGAACTATTAATATTACTACTCAAGGGCTCAGAGTTTCCATAGCATGGTTGAGGACCTGAGTTCAATCCCTAGTATCAAAAAGGAAAAACAAAACAAACAAAAAAACAAGATTAGTACTCAAAAACTTCTTAAGAGCCCCCATTTTGACCTCTTATATAGTTAGGTAAACTTTTAAAAATATTTTATTTCCTATGTATGTGTGTGTGAGCCTTCATGATTTTACATGTATTACAGTACTGCAACCTGTGGAGGCAAGAAGGGCATTATCAGGGCCTCTGAAGATGGAATTACAGGAGTGTGGGTGCTACAAACTGAGCCTGGATCCTCTGGAAGAACAGACAGTGCAAGCTAACCACTAGCCATCTTTTATATGTAAGGTTAAAGGGAAAAATCCACACCAATGTAATCATTTCTGCTGTAGGTTAACTTTAGACGGTTACCAGGATGCCCCCAGCAAAGGGGCAGAAGAGGTAATGGAAGCATTTGGTCTAAGTCCACATCACAGCTGTAACTTGCAACACAATATAAAAACGGTGTTTTCTTTAACCCCTATCCTCTATCACAGAATAAAATGCTTACAAAACAGACGACTATTAAGAGCAAAGTAAAAGTCATCTGTAAATTATTATACTGTGTATTCTGTTATGTTATAGAAACAACTGGATCATCTATGAAAAAGAAATGAAACAATTCTGTACAAGGTTGTAAAAGGATAAACCAGATTAGGAAAGAAAAAGACAACAAAATGATTAAGACAGGTGGTGGTTGTGCATGCCTTTAGTCCCAGCACTCTCGGGAGCAGAGGCAGGTAGATCTTTGTGAGTTGAGGATAGTCTTGTCTACAGATTTGAGTCCAGGACAGCCAGAGCTCACAAAGAAACCCTGTCTTGAAAAACCAAACATAAAATAATCAGATAGATACCAAGGAAGAAGCTTACCACAGAATAAATGACAAGGTAAGCAACTCTCACACAGGCCATCCTGCCATGCAGTGTACACAAACCTCAGTGCCATGGCTAACTGTCAGCTCAGCTGTTGTGGTATATTAACTGTAACAACATAAACACACAGTATGCTCCTAGTTATTCATTCAACAACTGACTAGTAAAAGCTATCTCCATCAGGATCATACAGAGAGAAAGGCCTGTCCTTATCTCCAGTGATAAAGCTATGTGACAATCTATAGAGTTGACAGTACAGTGCAGACATGAGTGATGGAAATGAAACTCTAGTCTGTGAGCATGCAGGTACAGAAGAGCTAACACTGAGAATGTGTTTACTTTTAGAAAGTAAAAGACTCTAGGCAAGCAGCATAGGGAACTTCATGATGACAGATTAACCAAAAGGAGAATGTCCTAGAGGAAAAAAAAAAAAAAAATCAGGTATTTTATAGTACTGAAAGCACAAAGAAGAAAATCCAAACCGTAAGTACAAGTCATAAAAAGCATGCCCACTCTAAAATTGTCACAAGGAAAAAAGTATCATTCAAACTATTTTTTTAAAACAAAAAGTACAACATTTAGTTCTCCATATTTCTAACGTTTTAAATTGTCACAACAATTCAATAAAGAAAAAAAAGGAGACATTTCAACAAATGGTACTGGGACAACTGACATCCACTTGTAAATAATGAAACTGGATCCCACCTCACAATACCACATGTAAAGCTCATCCAAAATGGATCTAAGACTTGAAAGTAATAATAGAACTCTTTGGGGCCACAAGTAGAATGTGCCATCACATGTTTGAGAGCTGAGGCTTAGTTCCTAGCACACTGGGAAAGAGAACAGAAGCTATTACTACTAAAGAAAATCCAAGTGTTGACTGTGGAGTAGATTACATTTTCTTAACACACATAAAGGCACAAGCAATAGAAAGTGACAAGCAACTTGCACCTTTAAGCAAAAAATTCTGGGGTTCAGAGCTGGTTCCATGTTTTCAGAAGTAGGGCACAGCTGTGCACACCTGTAATCTCAGCACTGGGGAGGGAGAAGGGGTTTGTAGCAAGGATAGGAGGATCACTGGGGCTCACCGAGACCCTGTCTCAAGGGAATAAGGCAGAGTGATAGAGCAGGATACACAACACCTTCTTCTGACTTCCTCGAGGTGTGCAAATACCTGAACCACACATATAAATAAAACGGTATTAATGGACACCACTGATTTATCCAATAAGGGACTAGTATGCAGAATATATAAATCCCACAAATTAACAAGATGTCCAGATCATTGATCATCAGGAACATGCAATGAACCCATAAAACAGGAGTTCAAGCTCACCATGCATGCTGCACTCATGCTAGGAAAGGAAAGTATTGTCAAGGAGGTGAAGAACTGGGAATTCCATGTGTTGCTGCTATCCCCACTTTGGAAAATAGCTTGAAAGCTCTTCAAATGCTAAGTGCAGGGCCACCGCATGAGTCCACTCTGATTTGTATACACACTCACAAAACACTCATGGAAACTTCTCATGTTTGGTGTTACAAAAACTTGTATACAGAATTATTCAAAGCAGAAAAAAAAAAAAAAGCAGAAGTAACCCAGATATCTACCAACTAAATGAGCACACAGATAAAAGATAACTGCACAAAAGGGATTATTCCATTAAAAAAAAAAATGAAGTAGGGATACAGTCCTCACTAAATAATCCTTGGCAACATAATGCTTAGTGAAAGAAATCCGACAAAAAAGCCACATATTAAATAACACACATACATATACATCATCCAGAATAAGTAAGTACATTCACAGAAGCACAAAATAGCTAGTAGTTGTCAGTGGCCTGTGTAAGGGAATACTCAGGGTATGAATGGTTTCTTGTCAAGATGATACTGAATCTAGAAATTAACAAGAAAAATTAGGGACTAGTGGGGCAGCTTAGTAGGTAAAGGCACATGCCTCCAAGCCTGATAACCTGAGTTCAATACTGAGGACCCACAGCATATATATGCACATACTAAAATACAGACATACATAATTTGAAATTTTAAAGGTTAAGAGTATATTTAATATTAACTTTAGTAATATGTATCTTTCATTTTTAATTTCTACAGCTGATTACACTCTTTGCATACTTTGGCTTACAGGGTCATCTACAGTCTTCAGGTTATTATACAGTATATTATGTTATACTGTATAACAGTATATTGTATTTTATTATACTGTTCAGTACCAGAAAATCTAAAAGGAAGAGCCTTGTGGAGAAGCGGGAATAACTTAAGACACTGTGTTTGCTTACCTGTAATTCCTCTGCTGTTGAAACATCCAGTCCTGTGAGATCTTGTATTCTCATATTAATTCGAGACACCACAGGGTCTTCATAGCCAGACAGCCAAGCACTAGGACAAGAAAATATTAGTTTTATGGCTACTGCATCATTAGATAAAACCCAATACCCACCATTTTCAAAGTAACACAAAGTGTTATAGAGATCAAATCCATCCAGGACATTGTGCATGCTAAACAAGTCCTGTGCTAAGCTAGAGTTTCACTGTGTGGTTCAGGATGGCCTTTATCTCCAGCTTCCCTTGCTTCAATCTCCCAAGTGCTAAGACAACTAGTGTGTACTACCACACCCAGCCAGGGTAATAAAAACTTTAGCCTGGTCTGTTTGCCCGATGAGACTTTTACCAATATAGTTTTTTAATGATGTCACATTTTGCAGTTAAGAGTAAAGAAACTGACATCTTATGTTTCTGTGAAATACTTCATTAAGACTGCTCATGCAAACTCATGTATTATTTTATAGACACACTGCTGGCAAATGGTGCAGCCATTGTAGAAAACTGTTTAGCACTTCCTCTAAATGTTAAACATGCTTACAATATCACCAGCAACTCCATTTCTATTTAGATACTCAGGAAAAATTGAATCACAAAATACAGAAGTATTCATAGCAATATTAACAGCCAAAAAGTAATAACCTTAATGCCTACCAATTTATAAACAGACTCATTAAAATGTGATAGATCTAAAACCATGGATATTGTGCCATAAAAGGAATAAAACACAGATACATGCTATAACATAGAATCTTGAGAATATGTTAAGTGGGCAGGAGACATGACTCAGAAGTTAAGGGCACTGACTGCTCTTCCAAAGATCCTGAGTTCAAGTCCCAGCAACCACATGGTAGCTCACAACCATCTATAATGTGATCTGGTGTCCTGTTCTGATATGTAGGCATACATGCAGGCAGAACACTGTATACCTAATAAATAAAAAAAAGAACATGTTAAGAGAAAGGGACTAGATAAAAAGGGCCTCATGATATGACTTCATTTATGTGAAATATGCAGAATAAGCAAATCAATATAGAAAGCAATTACTAGTTGCCAGGGGAGGATACAGTGTGTTGGGGGTGCGTAATAAGCAACTCCATTCATGAGATATATGAATGAGGTGTGTGTGGAAAGCGTCTTCAAAAAACAGAAACAGTATCCTAGGACAAGATGGCTAGGTAGCCAAACTAGACTTCTAATTCAGCAAGAGATCTTCAGATTAAAAACAAAACAAAACAACACAACACAGAGAAGGAGAAAGACTCTCGATATCAATCTTTGGTCTCCACATGAATACATATGTGTGCTCACTACACATGAAAAATCATGTTTAGTAAATGTTACTATATAAAAATGTCTGGAACTAAATGATAATTGCACAACTACTGAAAAGACTTAAAGCAACTGATATGCACACTTCAGGAAAGTGAATTGGACAGCTGTGGCTAAAGTTGATGCTTTGGTCCTAGGAAAGCTACCTGGAACTACAGAAAAAACCAAAACTGGTAAAAATTAAAAATGTAAAAACAAGGCTGGATAGGGTAGATTGCTAGGAAGGAAGAAGGGGGTAGTGTGAGGTCATGAGGGGAGGTAAGAGGAAGGGACTGGGAGGAGAGGAGAGAGGGAAAGCTGCAATTCAGTGTAAAGTAAATAAGTAACTTGATTTAAAAACAAACAAACAAACAACAACAACAAAAAACAAGTTGGAGAGATGGTTTATCAGTTAAAAGCACCGACTGCTCCTTCAGAGGACCCAGATTTGGTTCCCACAACTGTCTGTAACTCCAGTTACAGGGTACCTGATGCCTTCTCCTGGCCTCTGCTAGCACCAGACATTTATGCACAGACATACATATAGGCAAAAATACTCATACATATAAAGATAAAATTTAAAAATGTTTTAAACATAAAAATAAAGGAGTTGATTTTATGACTTAGAAGCTGTACCTTCATGGTAAAAGGTTCTTCCAATGTAAGGCCTACGTTAAACCTCAGAACTTAACAAAATGGAACACCAAATTCAAATATATCCTTTGTTTTGCTTCTGTCCAATCCATCAACATTTTCTTCCCTCACTTCTCATTAAGCTTTGATTCTACAGTCCAGTGTTTTAACATTAATCTTGCTAAAAATCTAACTGTCCAGAAAAAAACATAATCCTACATCACTTTTCCTTTTTATTGTACTTCATTTTGCAGTGCTGAGGATGAAACGTAGGGCCCTTCATATTCGAGGCAAATATTTTAACAGAGGGGAATATGCCTAGCCCCTAGTTTTTTTATTTATATTAGTCACAAACTAAGGCAGATATGTTCTAGTAAAATCCCATGACGTCAGCTTTGAATGGTGAGCCTGTGCTTACTCTAACATGAGATTTATTACGCAAAGACATAAGCCAACTTCTACTTCCACTTCTCCCACAGCCACAAACTTTAAAATGCCTATTCATTTTTTGTTTTGAGACAGGATCTTATGTGGCCCAGGCTGGCCTTAAACTCACTATGAACTAAACTGCCAATCCTTCTGCCTCCACCTACACACTCTAGTAATTCTATATGCACTGTATCTTCCATTTAAGGTATTTAAAGTACTTCCATGCCAACTATCTTCCTTTTGGATTCATGACAGGTTTTATACTTCAAATTAGTATTTCTACTTTTTAAAGCAAGATTCCTCTATTTTAAATACTCTTGACTTTTCTTCAAACATATAATCTTAAAACACTATGGGGAAGTTGGTTGAGGAAGAAGCAATACCCTCTCAAGGATTGTAGAAGGAAAGTGGGCTAAGCTGGGGACATTTTGGAGACAGTTACAAACCTCTAACAGGAAGATGTCAGTAAAACAATCTCAACTATCACAACTCCTACCACGACAGATGTGAAAATTAACATGTCACAATTAGCTGATACAAAACCAATATATTTTTCCTTTGTAAAGACAAATGATAATGCTGGGCTTAAAGTTCTAGTTCCCAAGAGCAACATTTCCAATTTCTAATATTTCTCCTTTTAAGTGCTTGATGATTAGCAAAGACTAATTAGGTAGACTAAGAACTAGTCTTGAAGGGTAATTAAGCAACAATATTATACAACTGTCTACATTGAATCTTTGCCTTTGAAAACCACGGTGAACCCATTAGAGGGCAGTGTTGTCATCTAGTAAAGTAGTTTTAAACAATTTTAAATCATTCAAAATTACGCCATTCTGGCCCGGGTGGTTATATACACCTTTAATCTCAGTGCTCAGGAGGCAGAACCAAGTGGATCTCTGTGAGTTTGGAAGCTAGTCTGCTTCACATAGTGAGTTTCAGGACAGCCAGGACTACATAGAGAGACTACAGGTACCCACTACCACAGCCAGCCTAAACTTTTGTTTTAAACAGCAGCAAACTTCCATATATGCTTTACCAAAGAAAATTCCATTTGTTGGAATCCTTTCTCCTTCTACAGAAAATGATATAATCACATAGAAATGTTTTAAAAATACAGATTAAATTTCTTTTTGGAATGTTACAAAATGCAGATGTTGCTAGAGCAAAAGGGATTATTACATTAACTGACATCAGAACATACACACATTTTTTCTATGAAACATTTTTCTTATAACATATAAGAAAAAATGTTGGTTTATTTATTACTTCAAAACTTAATATGAAGTTCAAAATTCAGGTTTTCATAACTTTGTCCAATGGCTCAGACCTGCACTAGGGTAGTCCCAAGTATTAGGGAGGCTGAGGCAGAGAATTACAAGTTCAAGGCAAACTGCATCAGTATCTTGGTAAGACCCTGTCTCTAAAGTAAAAGAGGTAGCCCCAAACACAGCACAGGGTGGGGCACTTGCCCAGCACATAACGCCATCAGCTCAATAGCTGGCACCATAAAGAAAACTTACTACCAGTGATAATAAGCATTTGTATCTACCTATCTATCTATAGATGAAATTCTTCCTCTAATACTTTAGTTGTTAAAATACCCTCAATAGTTCCAGTGGGAAGCTTTTTTAATAGGTAAGGCCTGTCTCTCAAAGCATATTCTGTTGTGATATAAGTTTCTTTAAAACTAAGTACTAAAGTCATTAAAATATAAAATTCATTTTTCATTACTTTGTTTTAAAACACACCATTCTTTGCCAAGACTGGCCAAAATTATTCTCAGGCACTGAATGCTACTAGCTGCAAGCCTTCTGTTGCCACATAGGATGCATAACATCAAGTATGACTGTGTCTTTCTCAAGAACCCAATAAAGCTACTTTTCAGGGTTATAAAACTAGAATACTGAGATGTTTGAAAGTACTTAGCTTTAAGAAAACAAACATTTGTGGATCATTTTCAACAGAACTTTCCCAAAACTGGTTCAATGATGTATTTAGCTGGGTATTCCTTCAGGTCTTTATATAAGAATGCTTTCAAAAATGTAATGCAAAATTCTTCATGAAAGTTAAATTTTTTAACATTATAATAGAACTGCATCATTTCTCCCTCCCTTTTTCTCCTTTGAAAAATAATTTTAATGCTTCCTAGAAGTATACAGAACAGGAGAACTTAAAATACTTATTAGCTTTATAACAGTAACATGTCAAATCCATGCACATCTCTGAAATATGGAAATGGCTTTATGGGTGATGTTTTGTTTGAGATAGGGCTCCACTATGTACACCAGGCTGACTTCAAACTCAAACTGAGATTCCCTGATCTCAGCCTCCTCAGTGCTAGAGTTACAAGCATGCATAGCCATACCTGGGAGATCATTTTTATAGATATGATTAAGATTCAGTAACAGAATAGAAAGTCACTTTAGGCTTAACCTGAAATTAAGATTAATTACAGTTTGCAGAAGCACTGTAAATCACTTTTAGAACATATTCACCCAAATTAGTTTCTTTAAACCATTGCTGTTAATGTTCCTTAAGGATAAGGGCTCCAATGATTAGCTCTATTAATCAGATCTTTAATTTATCCACAGCTCTGATAAGGTTCAGGACCTTCCACTCTCACCCAGCGTGAGACACAGTAATGCCAAGTGTCTGAAGAAGCAGGCCAGCTAACATCCCTCTAACAGTTTATGGCTGTTAGACCACATCACCATCTACTCTATCAGAATACAGTTTTGTTTCTTTGGGTCTTTATTTCTGAAAACCTATATTAAATAAATTAGTGCACTTTTCTCTTGGTTATCTATCTTTTTAGAGAGGTTAGAGAGGCCTCAATCATGAGCATCCTAGAAAACAAACTAACAAACCACTCTTTTCTTCCCCTATACTTATTGGCACAAGAGCCAAAGAATGGTACAGGAGGCTCAATTACCTGGAAGCTCAAGGTCCAGCTAGTCCTGAGTAAATGGCCTGACAGACATAACAAGAAAGACCATGGCACAAGACAGACGGAGAGAACTGAATCATAAACAGAGAACCTCTGACCTCTGCATGCCCACTGTGGCATGTGAACCTGTATCACATGAGTGAGTCGACGGAGTCAATGTTGTGCTAACCTCACTTGGCCCTTAGCTCTGATTTACACAGCTAAGCTGCACCATGGGTACTTCTAGAGGTTGATAAAAGCAAGAATTTGAAACTGACTTGTAGAAGCTTCTTTGTCCTTTAAGGCATTTCTTTATCTAGACCAACTAGTGACCCACAGATGAAGGCCCGGCTTCATGACAGAGTTTGGCTTGGGCCTCACTGCACATTATCAGTTAGCACCGCCAGAGCCTCCACAGCACACTATGCTTATTTATCAATGACTGAAAATACCTGTCACTGCCTGTGTCTGACTCATGATCCATCATGAAAATCAAGCAGACACCAAAACCTTCACCTGAGATCTGGGTCTTCAAAACTATACCATATATTTTGTTAAACTTCTCAAGAAACAAACTCCAAATAGGCCTCAAGTTCTGCCCATTGGTCCCTTACCTCTTAGATACTCTGTACTGTGCTGTGGTCAATTTCCCCGTCTCAGGGTCATGTACTGTAGCTCGGCTCAGCTACAAAAAGGAAAAAGAGAAAGGACAAGGGCTTACACTCCAGCAGGCCTTTGGGCTTTGTTCACTTTGTTTTGCCAAGCCACAGGTGATTGGAAGGATTCAAATTGGTCTGCATGGTGGGTAATGGTTCGAATCAGAAAGGTGGCAAGAGTAGCCACTTCAGGAGAAAAAAACAGTTGACAGAATTTGATCGCAAATGCATTTATTGTCCTTTCACTTTTTTAAAACCAAAATTCTCTGAGGCTGTATGCCAACAATCTGCATCAGTGAGTTTCACAGGAGCTCTCCCAAGTCTAGAAGTTTAATGTTCTTCAAAGTTTTTAAAAGTATTCCAAATTAGTACATCATTTTAAAACTTTCATCATGATGAATCTGTTTTTCAGTCTCTGTATTATCCAGGTCAACAAAAATAAGTCATTTAGAAGGCTGAGCTCAGAAGCAAAACTGCTCTTTCCACAGCCAACTTTTGGGCCAGTGACTTTTTTTTTTTTTTTAAATGAAACTCCAGTAAAAAGAGCTTACTCCATAATGATGACAGATTAATGGTAAAAAAAACAAAAGTGAAAATCACCACAAAGGAGGGTGTGAGGCTCTGCAGCACTCCAGCCCATATTAACCCACTGTTTCTTTGTCTTTATTTCCCACTCTCACAATAGAGAAAAAAAGAAAAGGACCAGGCTGTTTAATACCTGATCTTAAAATACAAAGCACTTAATTCCTGAAACATGAGGCCAATCAAAGATTACACAACATCTAGTCAAAAGGAAAGCCTGTGAAACACAAAGCATGCATCGATGCCCTATTCTTAGTGTAAGGCGGCCACTGATCTGGAGCCTGGAAATGATCTGCTTCTGTAAATGCTAAGAATTCTTGTCGGATGTTTAAAACACTCATTAGGAGGAAAAATATGCAGCATCCAATCTTACCTTTTGCTAATTCTGTAATGTACCGTCTCCAAGGCTCCTGTTACTGGGTTTGAAATGGTGGCTCGCCTCAGCTGTGAAGCCAACCATCAAACAGATGCATTACAAGACAAAAAATGAATTACGTTTACCTAACCAGCCAGAGCACTGGATTTTTCTTTTCTTTCTTCTTTAAGCAAAAGAGGGTGAATAGAAAAAAACTCGATACCCTTCCAATCACCTTGTGCTGAGCCTTGAAAAGCCAGTTAGTTTTTTAGGTTTTTGTTTGTTTCTTCAAAATTATTTTACTTGCTTTTGTACTGCATGAATAGAGGCCACACAAACAGAAAAGGCTAGAAATTAAATTTTTTCAAAAGTTACAGAATGCTGATAACAAGAAAAATTTCTAAACTGCAAAGTGCAACTTAGTTACAAGAATGGCTATTTGTAATTAATCATCTACTCTAAAACTCAGATCCTAATTCCAGAGACAAACATGATTACAAAGTTCTAAAATTTAGTTTAAGGTCATTCTTTTCTCTCTTCAAGAGATAATATGCACTCAATAATATATGCAGTGAAATAGCCTTTCTGCAGCTAGGTAGGTAAAAGGACTATAGCTAGTGTTAAGAAAAAGGTTGACAACTAAGATAATCAGAATTTTTTTTTTTTAGTGAGAGGTTGATTCTGAAATAACAAAAAATTAACTTGTTGTCACTAAATTTACTGATCAAAAATAATCTCAACTAAAAACTTTCCTTTGAAGTTACTCCTTTGAGTTCCTTCTATCTCAAAAATGAATTCTTAACAAATATTCTCCTGAGAAGTACTGGTAAACAGGGTTCGACTACAAATAAAAAACTTAATTAGGAATTCAAAAGAGAATGAGAAAATATGGAATAATCTTAAGAGATGTTCTATATGGCAGCAGATTTGCAGGAATGTCACTGGACAGCACCCACAGGAATCACATTAAATGTGATTTTAAAAAAGGTGTTAATTTGGAAAAATAATAAAACTTTAAAAATTTCAATACTTGGCCAGCAAACCCACCAGCCAAATAAGCTGCCACTGGCTTTTTAAAATAAAATCTTGCTTGTACTATACAACCTCATTTATTTACATGCTTCCTCTAGCTACTTTTACACCGGATGGCAGAGTTGAGAGGTTGCGACAGAGACCAACCACAGCCAACAAGGCCCTCAAAAACATTCACTACCTAGACCTTTATAGAATTGTATCAAACCCTACATATTACAAGAGAAAAAAAATAATCAGAATTTATTTAATAATCTCTATAAAAGTTTACATTTTATCATTAATAAGACATACTTTTAAAGAACAAGATGATAAAAAAAAGCAGAGAGGCAGTCTTCACACTCTCACACAAAAGACAAGTTTCTATGCCAAACACTACAAGTGCAGAATTAGGTGTAATTCACATTCAAATATTTTTCTTATTAGTATAGATTAAGAGGGCTGGTGAAATGGCTTGGCAGTTCAGCGCACTGGCTCTTGCAGAGGACTGGGGTTAGATTCCCTGCACCCACATGGCAAACACAACAATCTGTAGTTCCAGTTCTAAGGATCTGACCCCCTCTTGCCTCCATGGGCACTGCATGTACAGAGTACACAGACACATGGGCAAACAAAACACCCATATTCATAAAAGAAATTAAAAATAATAATTAGAAAAATAAACTAAAATTAGGAAATTATAAACTAAAATTAGCAAGATATCTATACCTAATTACATTTTTCTACCTCTAATGTGCCTAATGGGAAATTACAATACTTGGAGTAGTCATTCAGATAAAATAAAAGTTGAGTTTTGAGTGGTACTAAGAGCTACAAAATATGTAGAAAGGTCTTCTAGTAAGACAGTAAACCACAAATTTCTTGTGTGTGAACACAAATCTACGGTTTTCATTACTCACTGTTTAAAGCCCAGCCACAGGAAGTTACTTGTTTTGATAACAAACGGAGATAACTAGTGTAAACTCTAAGTTAACACCATTATGTTAAGGCACTAACACTTAAAACCATCTCAAGATATGGCCACCTTTGTTATCCTTCCTTTCACCTTGCAAAGAAAAGAATATTCACATTCAGTAAACTCAGAAGAAAAAAAAAATTACCCTTGGCTTTGCTAAATCTTTGACAGTTTCAATTTCTGCATCGGAAATAATATCATGGAAACGAATAATACGAGGCTTGTCCCACTCATCCTCCTGTTTGGCTGGAGCCAGAATAAACTTAGGATTCCGGTTTCCATCATGGTAGCGGCAAAACAGCTTTTTTTGTCTCCGAGGAGTCTAAATATAAAGAAAACAATAGGTATATTAGAATCATACCTTAGTGTCTACTCCTATATGAGTTAGGCACAATAGTTATGTTTGCACATACAAACACAGATGACCTCTGGCACAGCACACAAAGCACTGATGTCCTGTAAACACTCTCCATTAAACCAAGCATTTAGGATCTTCAAAATCCTATTAATGAATCTTAGGGTTTGGGGGTGAACTTGGTGGCACAGTGGTTACCTGCCATATAAAAGGCACTGGGTTCAATCTCCAGCACCAAAAAAGATAAAATAATTTCTGGGGACGAGGGATGCCTCAAATAAACAGAAGGACCAGAAGATCAAAATTTCATAATGAATACGATGAGTTTCAAGCCAATAATCTGTGATATAGGAGATCTTGTTTCCGAAACAGATACAGTTCACCATTGGAAAGATGAAAACTAACTAGATATTTGAAATTATTATGTAGTTTCTATAAGTTTGTAAATATCATAATGTAAGTTTTTATCTTTAAAAAACACATGTTATTTGTTAAAGTTTGCATCTAGATTGCTCCTGAATTCTCAGCTTGGTCTCTAACCTGTGGCATCATTGGTATGTGGTACATCTTTTAGGAAATAGGGCTTAATGAAAAGTCACTGGGGTAAGCCTAGAAGGTTGCTGGGAGTCCCATTCCTATGGCTCTTTGCTTCTGAACTGTCATGGGCAAGTAGTTCTGCTCACCACATACTATTTCCAAAATGCTCTGCCTTGCCATGGCCCAAAGTGAAGGGAATGGATTATTGACTTGAAATCTCTGAGCCAAAATAAAGCTTTCCCCACTTTAAAGCTATCTTGGGCATTTGCCTAACACACATAGTACAGTCTTTGAAATGACATGAATAAAAAACTTTAAGGAATCTAATACAATTTTCTTATTCTTTCATTGCTTATTAGTGCCCAAAATGAAAGCAAACACTTCTTGCTTAGGAGTTCGTGAACCTGTCCACAATGATGCAGTGAGCCTATCTGCAGCTAGCGATAAGGCTGTCAATACTCTTCAATGTCAAAACAGAAAGAAAATTAAACATTTTTTTCAAGAGTTTACATTTAGAAATACTTACTCTAAAAACTCAATAACAATATATTTCTGCACCAAAGGAGTTTTAAAGAATGTTCCATAATCAGTTAGTTTGGGGAAATAATGTGTAACGTATGCACAGTGATACATTTTCATCATAGTTGGGCAATGCAGCATACTATTATTTTGTGTAGGGATTCTGATCTTATCACAGACTTCATTATAAAAAAAAAAAAAAACTCTGGTGGGCTGGAGAAATGGCTCAGTGGTTAGGAGCATTGGCTGCTCTTCCAGAGGACCTGGGTTCAATTCCCAGCACCCACATGGCAGCTTATAACTGTCTGTAACTCTTGTTCCAGGGGATTTGACACTCTCACATAGACATGCACAAAAGTCAAAACACCAATGTACATAAAATAAAAATAAATTTAAAAAAAAAGGAAAACTCTGAATCTCTCTAGTACTATGTACAAACATACATTCACACACAAATACACACACACACACACACACACACACACACACACACAAATTGACTTTTTCCACTTTACCATTTTGATACCCTCCCCACGGCACAGCATTTCGTACTTCTGTCTCTCTGGCAGGTAATCCACAGCAATCCCTTTTTTCTTTGGTGTAGTTTTCTGATCAGATTGGTCACCTGAAGCAGACTTATTGTCATCTTTTTCTTTACTCATTATATACTCAAAATATATTAAGTTACCATTAGCTCTCTGATGTTCAGGATCTATTAGAGAGAAATAAAGTGTGTACACAGGTAAGTTTACAGTTATTCAATCATCAGAAAACAGTAATATAAACACAGTTTATATTAAGTTTATTGTCCTAATTAAGATGCTTTTGAGAAAGGAGGCACTAACAGAAATTATTAGAAACCGAACAAGATGTAAATAGTACTGTCCATTCAATCAGGACATGCAGTCACTTTGTATAGAAACAACTCTGGTCTGTATCTTTAGGCAGCAGTTACTATTTCTGCTTTGAGAACTTTACTAATCAACCCCACAACAATGTTCAATCTGATGTCAAATGACACAATAAATCTTACTCAGCTAGGTATGGGGGCACATGCCTTTAGTCCCCAGCACTGGGGAAGCAGAGGCAGGGGATCTCTGAGTTCAAAGGCCAGCCTAGTCTATAGATCGAGTTCCAAGACTACACAGGAAAACGCTGTCTAGGAAGTCTTACTCATCAATGTGTTTTAAGTAGTGATGGGAAAGATACTTTTGTGGCTACAAAGTAATCACTATGGTAAAAACAAAACAGACCTACTGCATAACTAACATTTCCCACAGATAAATGCAGACCAATTTATACCTGAGGGCTGAGTAATTTCAGCTCTAAATTTGTAAGTAAGAAGAAAAAAGGTGATGGAGAGATGGCTCAGTGGTTAAGAGCACTGTCTACTCTTCTAGAGGTTCTGAGTTCAATTCCCAGAAAGCTACATGGGTGACTCAACAACCATCTATCATGTGATCTGATGCCCTCTTTTGTTACGCAGACATGTGCTCATGTGTATAAATAAACAAATCTTAAAAAAAAGGAAACTGAAGATACAATTTTCAAACATGTCAAACCATTAGCTGCCTCAGAAATTGCTACTGATAATTTTTAGCTACCTTTAGTACAGAAAAACTAATCCAAACAACTGCTCACCAACAGAAACCAAGAGAAGTTTAGAGGTATCACTTGTGGCATTAATCAGTATATGAAGTATTTCAAATACTTCTGAAACTTCTCACAATGTATGTATTCTCACAAAAGCCTAATTTTGTAAGAGAAAAAAGTAAATGTGTATCGACAAGGCATATATACTACAACAAAACAAAAATAGTTGATTCCTCTTTTTCTATATTAATAGATTTTCTACATTGAATACAAAGTCTAATTTTAAATCAAGAGAAAAACAAATGTTATTTGTTTTAAATGCCTGAGTTCATTATTTTATACATTCTGAGATATATTTCCAAAGACCACAGCATAGTAGGTCTTAGGTAGAAATCAAAGAATTTAGTTAAAGAAATGGCTCAGTGGTTAAGAGCACTTGTTGCTCTTGAAAAGAGCCAGGGTTCAGTTCCCAACACCCACATGCTTTCAAGGGATACTACACTCTTTTCTGACTGGCCTTGGTGATCAATCACTATACACACATGATACACCTACATACTCATTCACTAATTTTTTTTTTAATTTGCCTATCATTTTTCTAACATTTGACTATGAACTGCAACAAAACAACAGTGTTCTTCAAAGGAAAGTGGTTAGCCACAGTATGGCCACATGGTAAGTAAACATTTTCAACTGAGTTTTTCATCTAGGTTGATCCTATTTCTTATTTATTCTTTTTTTAATTTTTTGAGACAGGGTCTCACTGTGTAGTCCTGGGTGTCCTGGAACTCACAAGTAGACCAGGCTAGCCTTGAATGCTCACAGATCTACCTGCCTCTGCCTCCCAAATGCCAGAAATTTAAGGAGTGCATCACTATCGCTTGGCAGTGTCAGTTATTTAATTCCTGGAGGGAAAAAAAAATGGAAGAGAATTCAGCAACTGCTGTAGTACTGTTAGGTGACCAAACTGGTTGCTGTTTAGTTTACTTTGAGAATAAGTAGTGAGAAGACAAAGTATGTTTGGTAGAGTGCTAGACTTCTGATTAGAAGCACATGGTTGACTGTGTGATTGGACAGACAAGTAAAAAGATACGGAGATAAAGTAGAACCCCAAGTATAACTAATGTAAATTTGGCCAGATGACAAACCTAGTTCAAGAAGCTTCTTTGTAAGCAAGAGTGCCTTATCCAGGTCTCCCTGCTGGTATACTGCATAGCTCAAATAATCTAGAACAGAGACTTTGTCAATGGTAGAGACCTCTCCTTCCTCCAGCTGCATTAGTGCTTGTTCCATCCACAGTTCTGTGTGGTAATAATCTGCTTCTGTATATGCCACTTTGCCCAACTCAAAGCAGTCTTCGGCTGTTAGAAAAGACTTGTGCTTCACCCCTAAAAAAAAAAAAAATTTACAGAGCATTGCCAATCTTCATATTATTAATTCATATAATAATATTTACTTACGATTACATAACTTTCCAAGTGCTACTTCACTTTCATTTGAACTTTGTAATAACACAGTGGTAAGAAAAGCAAAATCAGCTGGCTGTGTTAGCACATGCCTTTAATTCTGGCAATCAGGAAGTAAAGGCAGGCAGTGAATTCTCTGAATTCAAGACTAGCCTGTTCTATATAACAAGTTTCAAGAGTGTCAGAGCTACACCAAGTGACCCTGTCTCAAATAAGTAAATAAATAAATGCTGAGCAAAAATTAGCTAATTTTATAAAAACACAAAATAATGAAACATAATAAAGATTACATACAAGGCATCGGGGATGTGCCTAAAGAGCCTAAGGCCAGTGTTGGGCTCAGCACTAGCCTCCAAGCCTGAGGATGCAAGTTCATCCCTAACAGTCACAGTGGAAGTAGAGAACAAACTACACAAATTGTCCTCTGACTTCCACATTGATGCCATGGCCCCCATATGGCACATACATACATGAAATAAACAAATGTAAAAAAAAAAAATTAACAAGAACCCAAGATTTAGATGAAATCATGTAGCATGTTATATTATTTTCATTACATATTATTAACATTTGTGTAAAGTTACTGGGTATGTGTTTTCATTTATCAAGTATATATGAAACAGATGAAGTTACCAAAATGAAAGATCAGTTAAAGTATACACAGCAGAAATCATATCTTTTTTCTGTCTCAAAAACAACAAAAATGAGGTATCTATCTTATGCTTAAGGAATAATCGAGGCAAAAGATAAACAGAAAGATGAAGAGCAGAAAAAGCAAACCATTTAAAAGATTCTTCTGTGTATGTCGTTATCACCCCCTTTTATCTCTAATTTTAATAATTTGGATCTTCATTTTAATTTGGTTAAAGGTTTACCAGTCTTATTGATTTTCTCAAAGAACCAATTCTCTGTTTCATTGATTCTTTGTACTACTTTGTTGTTGTTGCTGCTGTTGTTTCTACTTTATTTATTTATTTCAGCCCTGAGTTTGATTATTTCTTGCTGTCTAAGCCTTCTGGGTGTTATTTCCACTCCTGTGCATATACCCAAAGGACTCTACATTCTACTACAGCGATACTTGCTCAACAATGTTCATTACTGCTCTATTCATGACATCCAAAAATTGAAAAACTATGTCCACCAACAGATGAACGGTAAAGAAAATGTAGTACACTACTCATCTGTTTTAAAAAAAATTACAGGTAAATGGATGGAGCTAGAAAAAAATAACAATCCTGAGTGAGGTAATCCAGATCTAAAGACAAATCTGATACATATTTGATTATATATGGCTATTTAAGTCAGTATTAACCAAAGAAGTGAGGCACAGAGTACAAGACCGGTAGGGAGGAAATGATCTTAGGAAGGAGAAAAGAACAGTCATAGATGACCAGGAGGTGTGCTAGGTGGGGGTGGGACAAAGACAACTGGAATGGGAGACTCTTCCCATTATTGGAGGGAAAGGAGGTTAAAGGAAGAACTACAGAGTTTTCTCCAGTGGATATACAATCAACTCATAAGGGCAGACCCCAAACCCAGCAGGAGATGGCTAACACAAACAAACACAATGGTATTTTTGGAGGTTTGTTTGTTTGTTTTTTCTCTCATAATACTTTGTCAGCACTTGTTTTGTTGGTCTGTAAAAAAAAAAAAAAAAGTCCTTATAGATCTTTTGTTATGGTTTTCAATTGTTTTATGGGTTCTATATGTGTGTGAATGAGCCTGTGGTTCTTGTGCGTTTTTTTTTTTTTTTTTTTTTTTTTTTTTTTTTTTTTTTTTTTTTTTTGAGAGGGGGAGAGCTCTTCTCCCTCCATTTGCTTTATCCTATTTTGGTTTGTTTTTATTTTATCTTTTTAGATGCCTGTTTATATTCTAATGGGCAAAAGAAAGGAAGTAGATTTGGGTAGGTGGGGAAGTAAGGGAGGATCTTGGGGAAGACAGTAATTAGAAAAATTACTTTCAATAAAAAAACATAAAATGACAAAAACCAAAACATTGTGATTATTCTTACACATTATCCTAGTGAGAAAATGAACCCACAGTGGGCAGGTCTTCCTATTTCAATTTGTAAAAAAGACAATCCACCCCAGGCAAGCACAGAGACCCATCTACTCCCATGCAATCCTACTTTGGTCAAATTGAAAATTAATACTAACCAACAAACTAATGAAAAAAAAAAAAACAATCTTAATATAAATAGCCGTATAGTCTGGAACTTGTTACGTACCAAGGCTGGTCTCAAACTCATGACAATGAAGTCTGAATAGCTGGAATTAGCAGGGGACATATTTAAACCATGGCAGATATAAAATAGTAATAGCTTAATATTAATAGCAGATATTAATAGCTTAATGTGATATAACTCCAGAAACCAAAGAATCATGTTAAATTTTGATCGTCATGACTATGCTGCCGGCACATGTCTAAAATTATCTCACAATGCAGAACTCTGGCTGTTTGGGGGCCAATCAAGCAAAAAGAACATATTAGTATATGCAGACAGCACAGTAACATTCAGCAAATGACCCAACATTCTGGCAGTGTTGATGAATAAGCATGATGCTAATTAAGGGCAGAAAATCTTCAGCTATTCTGCTTTGGTAAAGTGATTCTGATTCCCCTACCGATTATCTATTCAAAATTATTACAAAAGGCTGTCTGGGAATTAGTTTGAAAAACAAAAGTAAAAATAAAATATCAACACAGCATCTAAAAATGAGACTATTCCATAGCGTGCATGAAGGGAACAAGACCAAATAAGCAAGACAATGGGATAAATAATACAACCCCCCCTTGAGATGGTGTTTGTCACCTAACCTCATGTCTCACTACTGTCATAAACCAAATCCCATTCCTAACTCACGCATGTTCCAATGAAAATCTGTGTTAAGCCATACAAAGTACCTGTTATTTATCTGAATATGACAGGTCCACTCCCTTGAGTGTGCCTCCATCTAAAACACTTCTTCCTTGCCCACGCCTGTCTACCTCTTCCCCATTCTCTTGGCTAAAGCCTTCTTCATTAGATCTCAATTATTTTAATAGGACTTCCAAAAGGTCTTCATTTTCACTTCTATAAAGCTCAGAAACAGGACTCCTTCTGTGTGCTATTATATCTTAAAGTTCTCCCTTTTAGACCTTCTTGTGCCATTATTTTGAGAACCTAAGTGCCTTATTTGACAAAGGTATTGTCTTGCTTATAACCTTTGTACTGATATAATAACTGCACATATAGCATAATTAATGTCTACTGGATGTAGGGTTGTAAATCAGAAACCACTTATTTTGTTTTGTTTTGTTTGTTTTTTCAAGACAGGGCTTCCTTGTGTAGCATTGGCTGTCCTGACTTACTTTGTAGACCAGACTGACCTCAAACTTACAGAGATATGCCTGCCTCTGCCTCCCTGAGTGCTGGGATTATAGGTATGCACCACCATGCCCAGCCAGAAACCAATTTTTAAGTGTTATAATGTAGTGCTAGTAGAAATATATAAATCTGAACACTTATTCCAGTTTATTAAAAAAAACCTTAACATAAGCCGGGCTTCATGGCGCACACCTGTGATG